AATTCTTATGTTTATAGCTTGGGTACCAGAAGAACCCACACTGACGATGTTGAGAACCTGTAAGTTTCCACATAATCACGTATTCCAAGTGAATATCTATTCAAGTGTTATCATTCACAGCAATATAGATTTACGCTACTAGAGTTAGATATTGTGGTGAAAAGGAATAAACATTTGAAAAATCTGCGGACCAATGTCACTGAGTTTTTCATACTCCCATTAAGGAAAACGTACTTGGGATAGGTGACAGCCTTACTTTACACGTTTAGGGGTCCTAGTATGTTTTCGTCAGCCCAGAACGTATAGAACGCCACCAAACGAGTGACAGGCTCACCATCTCTGAGGACCTTAATAAGTGAGGAGCGAAAGACAGACAATGAACCTGCAGTAAGTATCTCCCCAGGAAGTCCACTCCAGATGTAAAGAACTTATTGAGGAATAAATTGCCTCGCACATTGGTCTTACAACACCCAGTTTTGCTAATAGTTTGTGGTTACGTATATTGTAAATGTGCGTTGCAACTATTTTAAGTCCTGGACCACATTAGTGCATTTACTTGTGGAGGAATTTATTGTAAACTATAAGATTCATTCTAAGTCGTCTCTTCTAGAGAGAGGTCCTAGTACTAGCATGTTGCACCTGGAGACGTATTCAGGGGTGCAGTCAGCTGCTAATGCTCCTAGTGTAAAATGGTGTTGTACCCCTTCAGTTTTTAGTTTGTTGTCTATTCAAAAGCTGCTTATGACAACTGAGGAGTTTTCTAGAATTGAACGGATGCATACTTTGTAGAGTTGGACCCTTGATTCAGTCCCATGAAAGTTACGAATGATGCATCCTAGTTTCTCCATAAGCTGCCTGCCCAGAGAAATTCACGCCACCGGAATATCCGAGCCCTAGGTTTGGGACGCAGCTAAGTTTTGGTAACAGCTGTCCATATACTTCAAATATCGAGTCGGGTTACTGTTACCAATGCAGATCCGTCCGCATTTGTTGATGCCAAACTGTACAATACCAGTCCCGGGCTTTATCATCGGTTCACCTCGGGATTTAAACCTAGCTTTGTATGCTGCCCGTAAACAGCACAAACTTACTGAACGTTCACAAGTTTTCAGCTTTGTTTATGTTCGGCATCTGACATGCTGTGTAATTTTACTGTTTATGCGATTCACCAACTGTTGTCGAGGCTTAATCGCTATTGCCAGATTACCGCGCATACTGGGTGATAATACCTGTGGTACCATTCACTTCTGGTGCGTAGCGAAAGGGTTGTTATCTAATCTTTATGTTCGGCAATGTCAGAACAACTGCATCGGCGTGGCTGCGTGGATCGTCCGAACTAAAACTCGCTACTGGGTGTAAAAGTGAACTTGTGTTGCACAGGTTGGTTTTGAGCCGTCTTGTCCGAAGTGATTCCAGATTTAGAGTTCCGAATCTGGAAATGTAGTCCCTTACGCAAACGTGTCCCAGTGACCTAACTGCAAATACCCTCGGAAAACATTTGTTTTTAGTTGTATTTAACGCGTATAGTACTCACTATAAATAGATAGTATTCTAACAGTGGCCATACGTAAGTTGTATAGAGCAGTAACTCATTGTCTGCGAAGTGAAATTTTGGATTATGAAACCTAGATGGATCTCAGATTTGATAGTCTCTGACACGATCTGTCCAGGGAACGTGAGGTCACCTGAGTGTCTGAGCTCCAGGTCACGGACACTTTTAAGAACTGGAAGTTTCATAGACCGAAGATGTAGTTGGACGTCTACAGAGGGAGCATGCAGAGAATAAGGAGCAGATGCTGACCGCTACTCAAGCCACTACCTTAGCAGCTTATGACATCGTAGTCTGCACTGGAGGCTTGAACACGCCGGCACTTGACTGGGGACTGGAAGGGAGTTGTGGACATATATCTTTCTATAGGGGGCTTCGAAGGATGGGGACCAAGTGGAAACTGATCATGACTTCATTGGATTCCGACGGACGGCGATCTTTTGTTGGACGATATCTGAGTCCGACCCCCCCCTCAGTAAAAGTAATGACAGTTGTGAGACTTTCATTGATATTGAAGGCGAAACTGTAGATAGTTGAACCCGAAGCGTCCCGCCAGTACAAGAAGGAAGGCTACCAGTTGGTGAATAGCGAACTCTTGAACGCACCATAATCACAAGAAGCACACTCCTAATGGAAAGACGAAAGTTGGATTCATCCAAAAGGTATTATCTGGAGCACTGTCCGCAGGAGTGTTTCAAAAGTAAGTAAATGGCTGTTTCGTATGCCTTCTTGGGGGACTCACATGATTCAAACGCAAACATGGAGGGAGAGGAGGATGCGGCACAAAGATATACATCGCGCAGGAGTCGAACTCTCTCAGCTACTGAACTGTCTAGTAACTGAGTTGAGTGGTAGCTCGACGCGGTAATGCGTTCAGAACCAGCGTCTAGTAACGTACCAGAGTTCCAGAACTCTGATGCAAAGCTGGTGGACTTAAGGATTTCATCTGCCTTCGAACTTTCCACGCTCAGATGGGAAAATCTTTGGGTTGTGACAAAATAAGACCGGCAGTCCTGAGGAGTTTTACCGAAGTGCTGAGCATGCCTCCGTTCAATTTCTCTACGCTTTCGCTGGGGCGAGATGAGTTCTTGAAAAATGGAATCACTCTATCCTTTCACCAATCGTCAGGGGAGGAGACCTTAGAGCCCATGGAGTTACAGGCTAGTAGCGTTACTGACTATACCATCCAAGGGACTGGAAAGGCTGCTGCAGATGTTGTTGAGAATGCCTAGACAGGGACAACACCGTTCATCCCATCTAACACAACCCTGGAACCCGGTGGTCATGTTCGAAGAGCCGGCAACACTTGCGATAGATGGGGCAAAAGGCAAGGAGCTCGTGTTATATTTCCTGACCTAGCAGAAGCGTTTGATAGCGTGCAATCTACACTGTGCCCGCCAAATTTACAGATGTGGGTATCACGGAGCCACTGGTTGCATGGTTAATGACAATAATAATTCACTTTATTCCAAACAATTTGTGGTACATTTTGGAATTCTCAGCGTAAGAGCGCCAGAGAGAAAGGATTCCGCCACAAAGGGAACAGAATCCGGTTAGCCCAGAGGAATGCGAAAACAGGAGTTCCTCAAACAGCTATCCTTGGGCCATTCCTGTTTTTGCTATACAAAAACGAATTCCCTACTCAACTCCCCCTGTCCGCTTATTTATCGATATGAAGTACGGGGGACATTGCGTAACGAAGGTGACTTTGGAATGCTTCAAGACGATCCGCTGCATTTAGAGTCCTGGTGTTCTCTTGCTCTCTGCCTCTCCATGCCCCAAAGAAACCTTTTAATAACGCCTAATACATGCGTGCGGAAGCATATAAAGACAGGAATCGCTTTCGGCCAACTGGTTTTATCGAAAGCTCCGTTAGCCCCTCAGACAAACCGGCCTAAAATTCCCTCCTACGGACAACTACTATCTCGGAAGGTAAAAGCATGTTAGTTGGAAAGGCAACCACAGCCACCAAAGGAGTATGATCGGACAAAAGGGATCACTCCTGAAAATCTAGAAGCGTGACTTAAAGCCTGAGTTTCCCCTCCCCGCACTATTGGCGTTAGATGTTGGGAGAGCAGTAAAACTAGACAATAAGAAAATGTTGTCACACAGATACGTACATAAGCAGGACAGTGGAGGCGAATGTAGTAGCGAGGGTCGTGAAGGAGGGACTTTCCTTCCCCATTCCTCGACAATCCCATCGAGTGGCGTATAAGCATCAATCTTTATTTTGGATCGAATTTTTCTGGGGATATGCTGCCGTCAGCATTAGATTCGGGTGCGAGGTAACTTTCATGTTATCACAACGATATTCGCGTCTCAAAACTGGTAAAAATTTTTGTTAGCTCAAGTGGAAACGCTTTTTCATCCATTCAGTAGCCACCCAAAGGTACCTGTATTGAGTAACATAGACACCAGGCTATTTAACTCACACCGTCATTCAGAAATGCACGAAGTATCTCTGGCACAAACACCGGTGTTTATTCCATATTTTTGTCATCACCGCGGTAAAGCGGAGCTAACCAACTTCAGGGCTTTGTGACTAGGCACCGACGGCTTTCCCATCTAAGAAAGCATAGCGTTTCTGGTATACGCTAGTGAACTCTTTTAACTGAGACAACCGACATACATAAAGGCATGTTGACTTGCGCTAGTGTTGCGGTCCTATACAGCGTACTGTGCATCTTCTTGGGTGGATCCTGCCGCGTTACTCTTGTCTAACACTTGGCCGGCCCCACATAAATTAAAGTGCTTCAGTACCCAACTGGTCATTACATTGCCTACTTGTAAGTACTGATCGAAAAAACAAATTAGAAAACGCGTTGTGCGCTGGAGAGCAGTCAAGTGAGAAAATTATATATGAGTCAGAGATAAAGATGTTATACTATGGAAGGAATGTTCAGTCATCTCTCAAAGGTTTCGCTAGGGACTCTGAGCGAAATCCCTCCGGACGGAACGAAGAAGACACGAAAATGGCTTCGAGGACTGCTCGGAGAAACACCTGTCAACGCAAAGTCCACAGCGCCCGAACCATATGGAGGCGGACTGCGAGCTTAATTAGTTGCTATTTCGTGAAGTGAATTTAATCCATTTATTTCAGCCCTAGTTTCATTTTGGTGACAGGCAGGTGCGCTGCAATCTCACAATCTTCGGACGCTTGAGCACCCCATCTATTAGTTGTAATGCAACACGACATGTCAAAAAGACAAAACTAATACTGTGAATGAAACTCACTACACTTACCGAATTTCAGCTGGTGCAATCCTTCCCAAGATGTAGTATGTCAGCTAATACTTAGACTTTGAAGGCCGAGGGAACAAAAGTCACTTTTTTTGTCCTAAGCTTATTTTTTTCGTAGTAATACACATTGTATCATATATGTGTTTTGTGTTTAAATCAGCTACTGCATTGATACACACCTCTGCGACCTAGACGTCAACACTGAATTGTTATGAATTTGTCGGGGAGGTTTTTCGTGAAGTCTAATTACATACGGGCTGCAAAAGTAGGAAAGCCTCATCTTATCTCACAATTTTTGCTTTTTAAGGATGACTGGGTTCTTTGTGATGTAAGGCTACTTACGGATGATACGGACACTTTTTTGTGTATCAAATCATTACCATCCTCGATACTATTGAATGGAACGAACAGTTATTTAGAGAATGAGGATGGAAAGCTCCCCGAGAAAAGTCCGTATCGCATTGAGAATTTTGCCACAAGACCATTTACTGCTTTGTGCAACCTTAGCGAATACAAGTCATGTTCTATGAGAACAGAGGCTGTCAATTCAAGTGCTTCTTTTGCACTAAAGCTTGTCCCATCCGGTGTTTTCGGAAACAAAAAGCTTCTCATTGCTACAGAAGATGAAAATGAAATAACTACCTGGCTAGCGATTTGCAAAACATGCATAGGCAAGAAGTCAAGAAACGGTTCATCTGCCCACAGAGACTTAGGATGTAATCTTGGAACGCTAAGCAAATCTGGCAGCTTTATGTCTCTAAAACCCAATTCGCAGGCTTGTGAAAGCGAATTTGATGATGCGTTGATGGACAATGAAGTTTATGAAGCATACTCTTCAGGTAATATTTATGAACCATATTGTTTTCTGTTATTGCAAACCGTTACCTTCATGGCTACAATAGGTTTCGAAATAAGATTTAAGCGAAGCAATCTTATGACTCAATTGAATGAAGGCAAAGAACCTCATTCACTTAGGATCTTGAAAAAAGTTTAGTAACCTGGCAATACTTTTTGGTCGGTCAAACTAAAGACCAACGTCAGGGAAGGTTTTGTGCTTCAACTCGTCGTACCTTAACTTGTATTTGTTTGATAGATCATTATTAACTTTATTTTATTCACCCAATTCAGCAGTCTCAGATCTTTCCCTGAGATGCTCTGTAACTAAATAGGCATTTGGAATTACAAATCAAACATCTAATATTATCACAATTTTTCGGCTGTTACGCAACATCTATGATCAAGGAGATTTCTTGGGCCTTATTGTCATAGCTACTTAGAATTCGACCCATTTGATCACTAGGAGAGTAAATTTTCGTTTGATCTTAAATCATCACTCAGTATAAATACTAGTCTGCTAAACCGTAGCTGTCTCAGATAGTCGAAATGATAACAAATAGATTGGTGCAAGTTTCGCATCACTTTACAGTCATACATTTATGAAATCCCACACTAAGTTCAGTGATAAAGAAAAAACTTTTTAGGACCGACAATTTTTAACAGACCTATTCATTCACATATTCGGTAATCATCCCCAGGTGTTTTAGTAATTTTAAATGGAATCAACTAGATACTACTTTCGACTTTGATTAATGATTCGAATATGCTAAGGTTATTCATCTGTTTTGTTCGTTATTGGTGTAACAATGCATACTTTAAGGGGGTTAATAATTTTTTTATCAAAGCTATGCCCGATTTTCTGCCAAAAACTAAAATACTGAATAATTAACTTCAATAACATTAAAAGGTTTCATCTCTTTCGATATCTTTACATGTAAGGTAATGACAGATTTGGTTATTTAAAAGATAGTTCACTTTAAAATTTAGATAGACAACATTGGAAATGTTTGCTATAATCCATTGTTGCGTAAGACCTAAACTCATCACTAACTAGTCAACATGTGATAAACATATTTTTATGCATTCACAGTCATTCACTTGGCATAATTTGCTAATCATCATGAATCCTACATCCATCCTTTAGAAACGTTTGTTTGTAGATTGTTTCAGTGACACGCTTAGAAGTTAACCTGCCAAAATTATTATCAGTTTACTACTTCTACTTAAGTGTCTGTTGGTGATGTCCCTGTAACAAAAATATGTACATCCAATATGTATCTAATTGATGCTCTATGAAGTTCTGCAAATTCTGCAGAGTATTCCTGAAATAGCTTTCAGAATTATTATTATTATTATTATTAGTCCCTTGGGTTCCTAGTGGAACATAGGGCTTCAGTAGCACGCCTCCAGTGACCTCTGTTCTCTGAGATCTTTTGAACCTGGTTCCACGACAGCCCAAACTCCATTTCCTCCTCGCATGACCTCCTCCATGTCACCCTCGGACGTCCAACTCGTCGCTTCCCATGGGATTCCACTCGAGGGCCTGACGCGTGATGTCCTCAGTCGGCCTTCTCAGTGCATGCCAATCCATCTCCACTTCTTCCTGCATATTTGTTGCGTGATAGGTTCTTGGTTGGTTCGTTCCCAGAGTTCCTTGTTGCTTATTTTTTCTGGCCATCTGATCTTCAGCACGAGCGTAAGCAGTTGTTGATGAATGTCTGTAGTTTATTGGAAATACCTTTCGTGACGCGCCAAGTCTCTGAGCCATACAAGAGCACTGACTTGACGTTGGTGTTGAAAATCCGTATCTTGTTCCGCATGCTGAGTGCAGAAGATCTCCACACTGGTTTCAGGCTATGAACCTGTCTTGCTTTTCCGATTCTGACTTTGACGTCCTCGTCCGTCCCGCCTGTAGTTGAAACAGTGCTTCCTAGATAAGTGAAGGAGGTTACTTCCTTCAAGTTTCTCCCGTTGACGGTGATTGGAGTTTGTTGTTGTTGTTGATGGTGGTGGTGCGGTATCTTCATCACTTCTGTCTTCTCTATATTCACCTGAAGTCCCGTCTTAGCTGCCTCTTCTTCAACTTGTTAGTTTTTGCCTGCAGTCTTCAAGTTTTGTGACATAGGCATAAGTCATCGGCGAAATCCAAGTCTTCTAGGTTCTTTTCCGTCGTCCAGTGTATCCCCCTCTTCTCGCTGCCTACTGTTTGCTGCATGATCCAGTCCACCACAATAAGGAATATCATGGGGGATAGTAGGCAACCTTGTTTACTCCTGTCTTCACTTCAAAGGCATCACTGAGCTTCCCATTGTGGATTACTTGGCATGTGGCATCTTCATATAGTTGTTGAATGAGGCGGATAAAGGTTTGCGGTACTCCGTAGTATTGAAGCAGTTTCCAAATTACTTCTCGGTCGACGCTGTCAAAGGCCTTCTCAAAGTCGATGAAGTTGAGGTATAGAGCTGATTGCCATTCTACGCTCTGTTCTATGATGATACGAAGCGTTGCAATTTGGTCTGCACATGATTTGTACTTCCTGAAGCTGCCTGTTCCGGTCGCAGTTTTGAATCCAGTGCGTCTTTAAGCCTCTCAGGATGATGCGGCTTAATATTTTACTTGGGGTGGACAGGAGAGTGATTCCGCGCCAGTTCTTGCAAGCACTGAGGTCTCCTTCTTCGGCAGTTTGACAAGGTAACCCTTCTTCCAATCGTCAGGTACCTTCTCTTCCTTCCACACCTTCTGCAATAGTGGTGTGAGCATGTCCGCTGTTGTCTCTGCATCTGTTCTCAGTGCTTCTGGCGGTATTCCATCTGGTCCTGCTGCTTTCCCGCATTTCAGTAGCTTTATGGCGTTCAGGACTTCCATTTTCGTTGGGGATTATGTTCACTTGTAATTCAGCGGCTGCAGGTGGTATTTCTGGACGAAGTGCAGGTGGTGGTCGATTCAAGAGCTTCTTGAAGTGGTCGGCCCATCGTTTCCTCTGTTTCTCTTCTTTTGTAATTAAATTTCCTTCTTCATCTTTATTGGTTTCATCTGTGTTGGTCTCTTCCCTGATAGCAACCTGGTTATTTGATACAATGTCGTCAGGTCTCTCTTACCTGCAGCCTGTTCTGCTTCACTTGCCAGTGTTCGTAGAAGTGTCTTTTGTCTTTGCGTGCACTCTTCTTCACTTCTTTGTCCAGTGTTTTATACATTGTGCTCAGTTCCTCTTGTCGTTGAGCATCCTTGCACTGGTTTATCTTCTGCTTCACCATCCTCCTCTCCTCTATCAGCTTCCAGGTATCCGTCGAGATCCATTCCTTGTCTTCTTTCTTCTTCCTTCCTAATACTGTTGTGCAGGTTTCTTTCCACATAGCTTTCAAAGACTTCCAGTGTTCTTCCACACAGGTTTCTTCAGGGTGCTCGATGTCTCCCATTTTGTCTTGATGGCTGCTTGAAGATCTCCTTTGTAGTTTCATCCTTCAGTTTCCGAGTGTTGTACTTGAATTGAGGTCTATCACCAGCTTCTTGAAGGCTTTTAACTTGATTTGGAAGGTTCCTTGCACTAGATAGTGGTCTGAACCTACATCTGCTCCTCTTCTTGACCTTGTGTTAAGTAGACTGCGTCTCCATTTTCTTGAGATTGAGATAAAGTCGATTTGATTTTTAGTGTGTCCATCTGGTGAAATCCATGTCGCTTTGTGGATATCTTGTGCCTGAACACACTGCCTCCAATCACCAAATCGTTGAATGCACAGAATTCTGCAAACAATTCTCCATTCTCATTCATTTCACCTAGCGCCTCTCGACCCATGGTTAGTTCTCTTCCCGTGTTGTCCCCTCCCAGTTTGGCATTCATGTCGCCCATTAGAATTTTGATATCGCCAACTGACGTCTTGTCCAGTGTTGATTGAAGTTGTCTGTAGAATCCTCCTTTTTCTCTTGCTCTGCATTATTTGTAGGTGCATAACATTGTATGATTGTGACCTTTCTTCCTTTTGAGTTGAACTTGCTGTCATGATCCTGGAGGAGATTGGTTCCCACTGCATGAGAGCCTTCGATGCTCTTGAGGACATCATGATAGCCACTCCCTCAGTGTGCTCGTGGTTGGCGTCTGGGTGACCGGAGTAGATTATTGATTCTCCAGTTGACAGTTTGGAGAGTCCACTCCCATTCCATCTGCTTTCGCAAATCCCAAGCACTTCGATGTTATACCTTCTCATCTCCTTTGCAATCTGGGCTGCCTTACTGGGTTCAAACATCGTGCGGACATTCCATGTCCCCACGTTTACTTTCGCTTTCATCGAGAGAAGACACATCGGCCAATTGGCTTCCCGAAGGCTTTCACCAACTGGCGTCATTTCGCCTCTCCGATTCCAGCGGGGAATAAGTTGTTTTCATTTTTTATATTTTGTTTGTGCTTTGAAGTTTCTTTAGCGGTTAGATTTGTTTTACGGGGTAGGGTTGCTAGCCCTATGCCCAACCTTCCCTCTTTACCCGGGCTTAGGACCGGCTAGTAACTAGTAAACTAGTTAACCAGGCGAGGTTAGCTTCAGATAAAGCCATTATTACCGCTATTACTATTATATATTTGGCGGGTAGGTTTATTTGTCTGCAACCAACACAGTCGTTGCTTTTACATTTATAGTACACCTTTGAGATATATAGTTAGTGCGTAGACCATAATCCTAGCTGGCTCGATTTGCATGTGTAAATTGGTTTCTGCAACTAACCGAGCAATATTCAAATAATACCAACTTGCGTCATCTTTAGCGCCAACTTCCGATATATCTGACTACCTATCAAAGGAACATTGTACTGCTGTACGCTCCGTTCTGTTCTGTTACACGCCTATGAGACGTGGTCGTTAACAATAGAAAACATGAAGTGCAGACGGGGTTTTAAAGCCAGGCGGAAACTACTAGGCAAGACAGGTTAGTCGGTTGACAAGGTTGGGAAGCTTGGTCAACTGATATGGCTTGGAATTGTACTGCGCATGCCAAGCCACCGTATATGTCGATGT